ACCTACAGATAAATGTTATTTTCAGTCTCAATCAGAGAAACTTCTCTTTGAAATGAATGGCTGCTCAAGGTGCTGAGAACAAGTAACAGTTGAGTTGTGTGCTCAGTCCTAAACAGCGTATTTATTTTTCATTTTTGAATTACATTTTCATTCTGTGCATATGTGCCATGGTACACATATGGAGGTAAGATGACAACTTGCAAGAGTCAGTTCTATCCTTCCACCATAAGAATCAAAGATCAAACTCAGGTGGTCAGGCTTCGCAGCAAACACCTTTATCTGCTGAGACATCTTGCCAGTTCTAAACACGGTATGTATAACCCTCACCTAAGGTTCCAGGAACATTGAGGAAAAGGAGGCGGAAATAATGTAAGAGCCAGAAGACAGAGAAAAGAGTTACAAATTGTTCTTTCCTGGGCATGGCACAGCCACTGCAAACACAAACTGACAGCAGCTGTGGCTGCCTGTATAAGACTGGGCCTATCAATAGTCAGTCACAGTCGGGGGAGGGTATGGTTCGCCTCACTGAACTATTGGCTACTGATGGATTCTGGAGGAGGAAGAATCACTCTTTTCACATAGATGGCCCTAATGAAACAGTGGGTCACGGAAGAAAACAAAGACATGAACATGGGAAACAGGAGTAGAAGGAAGATAAGAAGGGTTAAGGGGTGAGAGTAATCAGAATGTATTATATACATGTATGAAATTGTCAAAGAACAAATTTCATTAATAATATTGTTAATAAACCAGATGCTGGAGCTGGAGAGATGGTTCAGTGCTTAAGAGCACTGGCTTCTCTTGCAAAGGACTGGGGTTTGGTTCCCAGCAACCACATAGCGGATAATAACTGTCCATAACTCCATTCCAGAGACTTCACTGCCCTCTAAGGGCACTGCACATATGGGATGCACCTACATACATTCAAGAAAACACACATACACATAGACAATAAATAAAAAACTTAAAAAACTCAACAACTAGATAGATAATGAAATACCCTAACAGTTGTTTTGCTTCATTACAAACTATAAAAGTAGAAAAAGCCCCCACACTGGCTTTTTTTCTTTCAAAAAGGATGCTAATCTGATAATAAACATTTTATTTTATATAAAAGATGCTTCACTGCTGAGTTTCTTATATTTGTTTCTGTAGAATGTATATGTAATGTTTATTTTGCTTTTTCTTTACAAAAAGTTAAAGGAACCTTAACAAATGTACTTAATATTACCTTTACCCACTCTTACTCTGTCATCCCTCAAACAAGTATTTTAAGAGGTGATGGCCATAAGAACTCACACATGAGGTAGGACAAGCAGCAAGAAATTCCCCCAAAGCATTCTTAAGTGGCAGTTGTATCAGAATATAGTCTGGGGGCTGGAGAGATGGAAACACCATCTTCTGGCCTCTGTGGGCACTGCATGCACACGGATATACACACAGACACATAAAAACTACGCAGAATTTTAAAATAAAATCTTAAAATAAAAAAAAAAAAGAATACAGTCTGTTAAGTACCAAGAACCTTCAAAAATGTTATGCTTTTGACTCAGTAACTGGACTTCTGGAAAAAAATCCATCTTAAAGAAGTAGCCCAACTATTTTTTTTCCCCCAAAGATTATTCACTGTATCTTTATTTTCCTTAATAAAAATAGGGACAAATATTAAAGACTGGATATGACAAATTATGGTATAAATATACTATGTAATATGTAGCAATTTTTTTTTCTTTTAATTTGGGGAGTGGGAAGTCATGGTCTCCCTCTGCAGCACAGATTAGCCTTGAACACCAGCTGTCACTCACTGACTGAAGGTGCAGCAATCTTCCTAGCTCAGTTTCCCAAGATACGACAGTTACAGGTGTATGCCACTATGCTGGTCAAGTTCTTAAACTTCTGATATTATGTACTAACTTTTTAAAAACTTGATATAGTGCTGAAATAGGCAGCCCATGCTTGTTATCCCAGTAGCACTCAGGAAGCAGTCAGGAGGACTGCAATCCCAGGTCAATCTGAGCTATAGAAAAAGAAATGTTCCTTATAAATCATATATACCACCAACAAACGATATTCAGAATACTAAAAACAAAACAAAACAAAACAAAGAACTCTTACAAATCAGTCAAAAGGATATAAAAATAGCAAAAATCCTAAGTGGCAAGTTACAAAAAAGAAAGCCTGACTGATTCACAGGTATATCTTAATTCCTTATAAAAAAGGATATGCACATTCAAGTCACAATGAAATACCATTTCAAATTCAAAACAAAAATAAGACCATCACATATTTATGAGAATACAGACCAATTAAAAACTTGTTTCTTGTTCTGAAAGTGGAAATAACACAAATATTACAAAGCAGTTTAGCATCATTCATGGGGGGGGGGGGTATGTACTATTATTTTCAGGGAGGAAAAGCCTGAAAATAATTCACCACTTACCAAAAGTGAGAAACATTATGTATGCTTATAAAATAAGAAACTCTAGATCATAAAATTAAATAATGAATCTCAGGAATATAATGTTGAACAAAAGTGCAACATGAATTCACTGCAAAGTTGAAAATATTCACAATAAAAGATACATTGATTCTAAGTCTAAAGATGTAGTAGAACTTTAAGAAAGGGTAAATATCAAATTTAGAATTGTGATTAGTTTTAGAAAAGGGAAAGGACCAAGAAAAGGTACATAATAGATTTCAAAGATTATGCTAATATTCTTTTTATGTATCTATTAATATTTAAAGCAAGTGTTTAAAATACTTTAGTGTATCTGAAATACAATAATTAAATTATAAAGATAGTATCCTTTAATAAAATTCATTTATAAAATTCATCTTTAAAAAAATAATAGAAATACTAGTATATAACCTGAAATTCCTTAAAACCATAAAACTAAAATCAACCTGGGGTGGGAGAGCTACATTGAAGGAAAAGCTCTCTCAGAACCTGAGCTACTATTTCTAACAAAATCAACATGTAATTCACAGCAAGAAGCAGTAACAAACAAGTATTATCCTACCTTTACTGGTGAAATATGAGAATGAGAAACAAATCCATGGACATTTTCAATCTCTGACAGGTTCCTCTCTGAGACATGAACCAACTCTGGACCTATCACCTCATTGGTGATTTGTGGGGAAATGTGCTCTTGAGGTGTATCTTCATCCTGATACCGGTATTTCTGTGAAGAAAAGAAAACTATTGAATAGAAGTGCTAAAAATCAAAGTGAGTTTAATTCAAATAATGATTTCATAACTATTCAAATATTAAATATAAAGAATATGAAAGTGTTTTGTATGGTTTAATACATCAGATTTGAGAGAAATAGGACTCCATTTTAGAAGTCATCCTAAAAGGTTAACAAAAATTGTGACAGAAGCCTAAATATTAATTTGCCCACTCCTTTCTTACCCAGTGTTAACTAAATCATGCATGTCTAAATACAGCTTTTTGAATGAAGTCAGGCACTGACTGCTCTTGGAGAGAACCAGGGTTCGCTTCCCAGCACCCACATGGCAGGCGACTAACAACTGTCCATAATTCCAGTTCCAGGGTATGTGACACCTTCTGATTCCCGCCAACACTGCACAACATGGGTGCACTGACACACATACAGGCAATACATTCCTACACATTAAAATAAAAACAGATGCTTATAGCAGCACTATTCATAAAAGTATCAAAGTAGAAACAACCACATGTCTGCTAACTTATGAATAAAGTTTCACACATACACACACACACACACACACACACACACACACACACACACAGAATGGAAAATTATCCAGCCATACAGAATAAACTATAATATATAAAACACAAAAGACCACATATAAAATTCTATTTATAAAAAATGTTCAGAATAGATAAGTCCATAGAATTACAAAACAGATTAGTGTTTGCTAAGACTAGGGATAGGAATCAATTCCTAGTAAATATGAAATTTCTTCTGTGGGTGAAGAAATTCTGGAATTAATGGTAGAAGGTGCAGAACCTGTGCAGAGAACTGCATTCTTTAAAAAGGTAAAGTTTGGGACTGGAGAGATGGCTCAGTGGTTAAGAGCACTGACTGCTCTTGCAGAGGACCCGGGTTCAAGTCCCAGTACCCACATGGTGGTTATGAACCGTCCTTAACTCCAGTTCCAAAAGAATCCGATGCCCTCTTTTGACCTCCATGGCACTGCATGACACGGTGCACTCACATACATGCAGACAATACACTCATATAAATAAAATAAAAAAAATAAAATATAAAAATTAAAAAGGTAAAGTTCACGATATATGAATATTGTCACTATAAATCGATGAATTACACAAATATGACTGGTTCAAATCTACTGCAAATAACCTTTCTGATAGTCAAACTGGGAATCTTGGTCTTGGGAGTTTTTTGTATGCGTTAAGAAAACCTTATGCAATAAGACATAGTTGTAGCTTCCTTTCTGTTGCTATAAGGAAACATTTAACCAAAAGAAACTTAGGGAGAAAGGGGTTTATTTTATCTTATACTTCCAGGTCACAGGCCATCACTGAGGGAAGTCAGGGCAGGAACTGAAGCAGAAACCATGAAAGAACACTACGTGCTGGCTTACTGGCTTAGCTAACCACCCTATGCAGCCTAGGACCACCTCCCCAGGTGGTGCCATCCACAGAGGGATGGACCCTCCAACAACAATTAGCAATCAAGAGAATCCCCTACTGATATGCCAATCAGATCTAGGTAATTCCTCAATTGAGGATTCTCCTCCCAGAAGACTCCAGACTCTGTCTAGTTGACATTTAAGCTAACCAGCACATTTGAGAAGGAGTGTATCATGAAAACATGCACGATTAGTGGACAATTAATTATCAAACATTAGCAACCCCCCCCCTCATACACACACACGTAGGAGGAAGTGCAGCCTGAACAACCTGCGCATGCACGCTGCAAACGCGCCAAAAACATCCAGCTGAGTCAAACCTGTGTTCTGCCAAAAGACACAGAGACAGCTGATGTGAAAATGGCCTGATACAGAGAGCCAGTGAGGAACACACATGACCTATCAATGCACCAATGGGACACCGGGAGAGGGGATGGGGATATAAGGGAGCCCCATACCCGCAATAAGTGAGTCTGCAGCTGCTCGCACTACCTGCTTCTCACCTGACTCCCGGAGTCTGCATCGTGACTCCGCGCTGACTCTACCCCCGCCCGGAGGGCCCCAGGGCACCCGCAACATCTGGTGCCCAACGTGGGTTCCCCATGCTGGCATGGGCATTGACTTTCTTGGGTTCTGGTCATCGTTGTTGTAGCCGCTTTTCTCTTCTGGACCATTTTCTTTGCACTTTTCTGCCAGCCGTGCATTGACCGCTCTGGAGATCAGCCTTAGTTTCGCCTTCTCCACCCGCAACCGCTTGGGCGCCTCTCCCCCACTTTCTTCGGTGTTGCGAGATGCCCCCTGCCTGAAGTTTCGGTAAGTCGGCCCCTACATGTTACATGTGCCTTCGGTTCTCCTGTGGCTGAGCGTGAGAACCCCCTCCTTCCATTTTCCCTCGTCCTGTCTGTCGATTAGGGAGGTACACGTTTTGCTTTCGGTTCGCCCAGCACCTCCACATAAAGGCTGACATCCTAGGAGGCAGAACCCAGGAGCGCCCTGACCGTTGCTCCCAGAGACACCTGTGGGTATACAGCCAAGGCCTAAAGAACCATGGAAGTCCCCCACTGAGCACAAGACATCTGGGTCGACACATTCTGTTTGTCTTAGAATTAACATGGGTAATCTGCCCCCCAGCTGTAGGGAACCCCAAATCAGGGCATTAAAATCCCTCCTTGTCATCCAAGGTCTTAAAACCAATGACCTAGATGCATTCTGGAACAAGGCTACCATCCTCACACCATGGGTCATCCCCGAGAACATGTGGGACCCTGACCTCTGGATGCCCATTCTTTTCCTTGCTAGGGAGCGCCAGGTCTCCTTAGGTGTCGTCCCGCCTGCCTCATTTGTCCCCATTCTCCTGGCCATCATAGCTAGCCTAGTTCCTTTGGTCCTACTCATCCTTGTCAAGTGTCTCTTCCAGCATGCCCTATAGCAAAAAAAAAAACATCAACAGAGCCACATTCCAGGTCCTCTTGGCACTTCAACACACAGGTCGCGATCCTCCCCGCGAGGTCCTACAGGCCTGGCTCACGGGGAAATCCGTGAGGCCTCTTTATAACTGCCTTCCCCAATCACCTTGGTGGGCTCATACCCAGGAAGATTGCCCTTTGAGGGCCAGTAGTCAATGACGGGTAAGAGCTTGCTAACCAAGCCAACCTAAGACAGGCATGGTCCATAATACTGGGGACCCCCTGAGGTGGGGCCAACAATGCCAAGGCGAAGAATCTTGGCTCCCACTAGAGCTTCACAAAAAAAGGGTGGATATGTAGGAGGAAGTGTGGCCTGAACAACCTGCACATGCGCGCTGCAAACGCGCCAGAAACATCCGGCTGAATCAAACCTGTTTTCTGCCAAAGGACGTGGAGACGGCTGATGCAAAAATGGCCTGATACAGAGAGCCAATGAGGGACAGACACGACCTATCAATGGACCAATGGGACACCGGGAGAGGGGGATATAAGGGAGCCCCATATCCGCAATAAACAAGTCTGCAGCTGCTTGCACTGCCTGCTTCTCACCTGACTCTACACACGCACACACACACACACACCCACACACACACACACACACACCCACACACACACACACACACACACACACACACACACACACACAGAAAAGCCTGCTTTTCTCTCTACTGAATGGAGCCATATAATCACCACTTTGGTAACAGCTAGCCTCCCTTGGATTACTGAACTGAAGCTGTTCTTCCTCACACTCTTGTTCATAATATGTGGTCTAGTCTCATCTCTATTGTTTCCATTCCATAAATTCCACCATCCAGAATGAACTTCTAAGTGATTCATCAGAAGATAAGGTAAAGAGTTGGATTTAAAAAGCTACAAGTCATAACATGAGAAGGTATATGTAACAATTTTAACTAATATAATACTTATAAATTCTATATACATACATACATTCTATATACTTACATACATACGAATATAATACTTATAAATTCTATATACATACATTCTATATACATACATACATACATATATAAATATGTGTCTCTACAAACATCATTCATTACCCAGAGGTTCAAAATATGCAAAGATCAATTGACTGATTGACTGTGTGTGCTCTGTGGGTTTTGCTGAGGACCAAACCCTTGACCTTGTTGCTAACAAAGCACTCTATTATTAGACCACATTCCTCACCCACCAATTATATTTTAAAAGTGAAGAATTTCACTAGGCATGGTTGTACCTGCCTTAAACCTCAGGACTCCAGAGGCAGAGGCAGGAAGAATTGAGGCCAGCCTGCTCTATATAGGGAGTTCTAGCATGGTCAATACATGGAGTTCTAGCACAGTTGTGCCTACAAGGAGACTCTATCTCAAAACAAAACAGAAACGAAGAATTTCAAGTAAAGACTACTGTGGGGAAGAAATGAGATGCATCTGAGGTGAGCAAAAAGGAAGGGGCTTTCTAAAAGAGTAGACAGTATTCTTATGTTTTGTTAGTTTTAAAAATTTTTTTATTTTATTTATTATTTTTATTTTATGGGTATTAGTGTTTTCCTTGCATATGTGTAAGTGGACTCATGTACAATGCCCATGCAGGTCAGAAGAGGGTGATGGATTACCCTGGAACTGGAGTTACAGATGGTTGTTAGCCACTATGTGGATGCTGGGAATTGAACACAGGTAATTCTGTAAGAGCAGCCAGTGCTTTTAACTGCTGAGTCATCTCTCCAGCCCCAAATATTCTTCTTTTTAAGGTTAATGTAGCTATTCTTTATATTTTATCAAGATTTTATAAAAGCAAATTTTAAACAGCATGCAAATGACTAAGCTAATATACTTAAACCTTTGATGGAATATCAATGTTCACTTAACTCAATTCTAGCTTGTATGTGTGTGTGTCTTTTTAAAAAACATAAAGCAACCTTAAACATTAGTAAAGACTGCAAGGTTTTCAATATAGCAAACTTATAATCATCACTAGTCCATCATCTTTCTGACACAACTTAGTAGTCCTGTAGTTTACATTTTCATCAACTACAATTAAAGATGATTCTCTTCCCAGGGTGGAAGCC